GCCCAAACAATATGGGCAATCCGGCGAGCTATCGTGCTTGAATCGGTGTAGGTAGGCTCGAAAACAGCCATGCCCCGATAGCATTTGCGTAGTATAATAGTTTACTTCGCCGTGCTTGCGACTTAGCCAGACTTTGATGTTAGGAATGAGACGATGCGTCCATCTGCCCTTTACAGCGACATCCCACAGTCGCTGCCATCGGTCAATGCTGTTCTGCCGTTCTTCTAATCTTAACTTTTCAGGACACAGTTGTTGATGTCTTCTATGGTAAATTGTCCGTCTTTCCTCTGCTAAGACTAAGAGAGGCACAGTTCCTGAAATGACGCACACTGCTTCCGCCGATATTGTGCGAAATGCGCAAGCAATTCTTATAGCACTGAGACGGTATAAGGGCCCTGCCATTCTCCTCGATTTTTGAGATTTAAGAGCATCACCCCATATGGAGATACCATATGTCAGCACTGAAGTAATAACTGACGATAGTAATATCCTTCTGGTTTGTTTAGGACCTCCAATATTAGGCATCAGTCGAGCAAGTTTCGTCCTAACTATTGACGCCTTAGCACTAACGTGTTCCACCTGTTGATTGAAATTCAAACGAGCATCAAGCATTACGCCAAGGTAACAGATGTGAGGTTTTGACGTGATCTCAAGATTTCCTATCTTTAGCTTGATGGTCTCAATTCTTTTCCTACTAGTGATAAGAACAGCTTCACTTTTTTGTTGTGCTAATTGGAGATTCATTGTTCCCATCCACCGATTAATTTTTCTGAATGTAATATCGAATAGGCTTACGATGTCATCAATTTGTTTGGAGACAACCACTATGGCAACATCGTCTGCATATGCTACTAGTTTCACACATTCTGGAAACTCTAGTCTCAAAAGGCCATCATACATAATATTCCACAGCAAAGGGCCTAGAACAGAGCCCTGCGGCACACCTCCTGTTATATTATATTCTTCTGTACCATCGCGTGAATGGTACATTAGAATTCTGTCTGTAAAGTAGCTTGCGACTATATTGCATAGGTATGCTGGCACGTTCTTGTCACGGAGTGCATTCATAATGCAATCCCAGTTTGCAGAATTAAAAGCATTTTTTATATCCAATGTAGCTACAAGGCAGTACTTTTGGAACCCCCCTTCCATCTGGTTCCAGCAATTGCCTCCTTGGCGGTATTAACTACCAAGTTTATAGCATCGATAGTTGATCGCCCTTTGCGAAAACCATACTGATTGTCTGCTAGGATTGGATCAACTACTGCATCTATTCTTTGGTGAATTATTCTTTCAAAAATTTTACCCGCTGTATCCAGCATGCATATTGGACGATAGGATGATGGTTCATCTGGTGGTTTTTTTCCTTTGGGAATAAGCACTAGTCTTTGCTGTTTCCATTTTCGTGGAAAAACCCCTTCTTTCAGGCATGTATTATATGCATTAAGAAACATTGTCGGAGATGTCATAATTGATGTTTTCAAGGCAATATTAGGAATTCCATCTAATCCCGGTGCCTTGCTATTACCAACGCGATGACAAGCTTCCATCAGTTCTTGCAGTGTTATAAGTGGAATATTATTCTGTTCTACATGTGTTACCTGGTAGTTCAAATTAGGTTGTCGTGGAAACAAAGTAGTTACTATTTTATTCAATAGTCGTGGGCAAGTTGGTGAAGGTATTGGCTGGCTTTTGAGGCGAGACATTACAGTCTTATAAGGTCTTCCCCATGGATTTTCCTCGACTTCATCCAAAAGTTCTTTCCAGCACCTAACTTTACTATCTTTGATAGCTTTATTTAGTTGTCTACGTGCTTGTTTATATTCCACTACCAGTTGTGCAGAATTACTGAGACTATATCCACGCTGAGAGATCCTTCTTTTCTTTAGGCACTCTTTACGAAGAGAGCTGATTTCTTCAGTCCACCAGTGCACAGATTGTCTTTGATTTATGCCATGTTTACGAGTCATACTGATATCACAGGCTTCGGTTATTCTCTCCATCAGCTCTCTAGTATGCTCATCTGCGTGTTCTGAAATTATAGGTTTGCAATTTAAGGCAACTCTCATGGCGCTTTCATCAAAAGATTTTATTTTCCACCCAATGGCTTTAGATATTTTCGCATGTCTTCTAATGTTTCTATCTGTTGATATTTCCCAGATGATTGCATTGTGGTCACTAGCAGTGTAGATATCTAATACCTCCCAATTGCAAATTCCTCTGACGAGGCTATTGCTAACAAAAGTAAGGTCTATTATTGAGCTTGCACTGCCCTTTTCAAAGGTTGGTTTATCACCACTATTAAGTAAAACCACGTCAAGTGCATTGAAGGCCTCCAAAAGTGCTTTACCTCTTGCATTAGTCTTCCTACTTCCCCAGTCTACCGCCCATGCGTTAAAGTCACCGGCTATCGCTACGGGGTGGTGTCGTTTTGCATCCTCCACAAGACGATCTAAAAAATCGACAAAATCTGGCAAAGAAAGACTAGGTGGAGCGTAACAGCTGTATAAATGTATGCCATCTAATGATGCTGCGACAAATCCAGCGTTGCTATTGTTAACAACATTTTGGAAACAAAACTTGCCACAGGACCAAATAACGGCTTTGGTGGTACTGTCCGTTTCCCATGGCCAATCAGTTAGATGTTTGTAAGGTTCTGATAAGAGGGCAACATCAATTTTCATATCTCTTACCGTCTGCATAAGCAAGTCGTGTGCAGCCTCACAATGATTCATGTTTAGCTGTATTATCTTCATGCTTTTGCGTTCATTATTTTCTCTATGGCCTCCCTATATAGAGGACATCTGTGAGTGCCGGCATGATGTGCTACATTTTCAGAGTTTCCATTTTCAGCGCATAGTGCACATTTTGCTGCATTTATACAGTTGGCTATTTTGTGACCTTCTTGTCCACATCTAAAGCATAGATTGGTCCGATTCACTTCGCTCTTGCACTGTGATCCATAATGTCCGAATAGCCAGCATTTAAAACATCGAATTGGTTACTTGATGATTTTAATTTGACAGTTGACCCATCCAATTCGTATTTTGCTACTTGCTTTGAGCAGATCGTGTACAACTGCCGCTGGAAGAGCTACAGTAGCAATCTGGGTACCTCTATATGCCTTACGAAGCCTAATTTCTTCTGCTGGTGTGTTGCAGGCTCCCCCGGTTGCTTTTTGTAGTGCTATCTGGATATCAATTTTTGATGTTTCATCATCAATATCCCTTATTTCTATAGTTTCTTGGTGCCCCTTATAAATAACTTCGGCCTCATCCTTTAACACACCTGCGATAATCTGTTGCAGTCCTTGGCCTTTGTCCTCACTTTTCTTAGAAATAGTTATCAACAAGTCTCCATTTCTGGTTTTGTTTATTTTCTCTACTGTCGTATTTACCTTGTCATCAGGGACATCATGTTTGATGCGACGTAATATTTCGGAATAATTAACTTTTTCGGTCGGCCGGATTAATAAGGCATTTGGTTTTGGAAAAATTCTATGATTTTTTATCATTTTATGGTTAGAGTCCTGTTCTGACAGATGTACCCTTGCTTCCTTTTTTTTCTGTTTTCTCGGCTGAACTTTATGCCAGTCATTTACCTCGATTTTTTCTTCATTACATATTTCTATGATCGTCTGACGTCTTGGCAAACCATTTTTCTCATTAACCTGATTATTGCTTATATGTTGTGAGTTTCGGTTTCTTGTGGCTTTGCTTGTGTCCTGCCGTACACTTTTTTCTATAGGGGCTGTCTCACAACATTGCACTTCATTTATCATAACTTCCGTATCATCCGTGGTTCGGCCTTTTTCCTCTAACAATTGGTTGTCTAAATCAATAAATCTTTTAATTACGGCCGCTATGTTGCCTGTTTTTATTTTCACCTCTTTATGTATGTTTGACTTTGATTTGACAATCATATGCAGTTCATTTATCAGATTCTCAAGGCACTTCAATGACTCATTCCGTTGTAAAATGACATTTTCCGGAATTATATGTGACAGTTCAGCCACTAGTTCTACTTTACTAGTCATACCGTCGCATGAGCTGGTCAGCGGGTTTCGGGCTATATCTGATATACCTGAACATAGCGTTGTGTTCAAATTATTGTGTGATTTATTGATTGCATCACCAGCATTGTTTGACACTATGTCCCCACTAATGGGGATCATTTTAACAAAAATTCTACCTGCACCCAGAGGCGAGGATCATTCAGCTCACTAACTTATTAGTAACTTATTAAAACTGATGGAACTAATTATAAATTTTGTACGACAAAATAACTAATTTCTGACGTGAGAAAATTTTTTGAATAAGTAATTTTTTTGTATTGTGATTTAGTAAAGTAAGGCAAAACTGCATTAGTTAAAAAATAATAATCTGTCAAATTGAATTAAATAGGGTATTTTCACTGACAGTCCACAACCGTCAGACGCATGCGCAGACTGTTATCTGCCATATATATTGTATCTTATATTATTTTAATTTTTGGCACAACTCAGGTGCTTTTCGTCAATAATAATGTAGATATCACATTTTTCTTATTCATAATCATGAATATATTATATTTTAATATTGTCTTAGGCTATAAGTGAATTGAAAAGTTTGACAGATGGCAGACTTCATTTGTTTTCAATGGCAAACAACGCCTCAAATATTTTCAATGTCAAACAATGATAGGCGGTTTTTTGAAATTTTTTCCCATTTATTTCTACAATCTAACTATATTTCTATAATTAAATGAATCCTAAAAAATTCCCTTAACAAACTTCAGAAAGATTTATTAAAATCCGAATAATCGTTTAGGAGGATTATCCTTTCATACACCATTACAGAAGAATTTTATATATAAGATATAAGCATGTTACCTTCAAATACTACTTATGAAATCACGAGGCTTTAGTTTTGAAACTCCTGAAGCCGTTAGTTGTTTATGTATTTTGTTCTATTGTTTTTTTGTATATCTCATGAAAATCTTATAGCTATTTTTCGTGGTAGGTGGCTGGTATATTGCTATGTACCAGGAGTTTGTGAGACGTTAGATCGACATGAGACTACTGAAGTATTTGGCAAAGAAACCCTGTTGATGATTTATGATTCTGTTCATCAAAAATTGCTAGATAAGTTTAAAGCAGATGCGCAACAGACTTATCATGATAAAAAAATTGCAGAATATAAGGTAAATGTTATGTTTTGAACTTTTAGTTACTCTTACTAAAGAAATTGAAATTTTAAACTTTTGGTTACTATTACTGAAGAAATTTTTAATTATAGATCATATAAAATATAATTTTATCAACATTTGCATGATTTTTTCTTTTTTTTATTGGATAATGTATATTAGTTCATATTACATTTTTGAATGAAAGTAATAGTATTTTGTAAATTTTCATACTTTCAATCCTTCAACAGCGTATTTTAGCACCTTGTTTACGAAAGGTTGTATAGGCATCTGAAAATATCATTTAAATCATAGCAATAATTAAAATTCAAACTATCTCAGATGAAACTTTTACCCGCATAGTTTTAAGCCTATGCGGGTTAACTATATGAGTTCAATTCGTTTAGAATCTAAACTTTAGATGAATAACAATTATTTATGGTAAATTGGTTACGTATTGTGTAAACAGATTGGAAAAACAATTTATTATAAGACTGATCAGACAGTAAATAAGTTAAGGGGGTATTCTACTGTAGAGTCATGAATTTCGCCCGGTTTTTGAAGCGCTGTATAAAGGAAACAAATAATATTTTTACTATCGATTTTTTTATCATTTGTTTATTGATATTTTATTATTATATAAAAAAATTATTAAAAAAAAATAATTAAAATTCACAAAGTTATGAGCCGTCAAAGTGGGGGTTCCCAAAAAAAGAGGGTGTCCTGGCGTACATGATTCCAACCCTCCTGGTGATTTGAAACATAAAAAATAGATGGATTCTTAATTATAATAGATGTCGCTATCGTATGAACCTTGGATAAGCTGAAAAAAAATTTTTTGTTCGAATGGCGGCAGTTTGAAAAAAAAATTAGTTTTTTTCATGTTTTTTTAACAATTCCAAATTTTTTAAAAATACTAAATGAAAAGTTATAGTTTTGGGCAAGGTCCATACGATAAAGCGATGTATAAAGAAGATCTTCTCCAAATTTGAAGTAAATCGGTTCATTAGAAATCGAGATATCCTTACCGCCAGCTCGAAATAAGTAGTTCCGAGAAAAACGCGTTCAAAGTTTTGAGACAAGTCGGACCCGAACCGAGGCCACGTCACTAAAACGGCTATAACTCAGGAAATAATAATAATTTTGAAAAATCCTTTCAATGACATATTTTTGAATAACTAAACTTTGAAAATATGAAAAAAAAATTTTTTCGATTTTTTCAAAATTCTACAGTAGAATACCCCCTTAACAGGCAATATGTTCCATCTATTAAAAACATCGAAAAATACTTTATACAATATTTCTAGTTTACCGAATTTTTTTCGTTTTGAAGCCGAATATTCAAGCACCTTTATTCTAAAACTTCATTCTTATGCAAAATGTACTACATATGATGCATTTATTGAAAATAATAACGCGAAAATTATGATGGTAAAGTTAAATTGTAAAGACTAAATTAAAAATATGCTGAATAAAACTAATATTTTATACTGAATAAAACTCTTTTATATAACATTTATTGTGTTGTTATCATTGTGATATGATTAAATCGCAGGATAAAAAGGATTTGCGGATTATATTTGTCTTCATTATAATTATGATGAAAACATTGACGTAATATTAGCTTGAAAACTATCAAATTCAAATAAAAAAATATTGTTTTGTTTTAGACTAATACTATTTTTTTACTATTTAATTGCATGCTGCATATAATTAAAAATTGAAACCAACAGGAAATGAAATAAAATAAATATTTAAGATTATGGAAAATTAAATGTTGTTTTCTGAAATACAAAGAATTTTGAAACAAAGATGGCTGGTAAGATTCTGTGTGAGATGTCAATTAAGTAAAAAATAAATACGTCATATAGCAATTTACACATATTTATTAATGTAAACCATTATGCTTATTTCCATAATTCAATTACTATCATACTTTAAATATGTCATAATCGGTTTACCATTTTAATTAGAATGTTTTAGAGTTTAGAGCAAGAAATCTGAATATCAAATTTATTTTTTATTACTTATACAATTATGCAACTTTGTAATACTTTATCTTTAGGAAAATGAGATTGTAAGCTTTAATATTTGAACTAGAACAGTGAAATATCATTAAATCACCCATTTCTTCTTGTCATGTTATGAGTCTGAAGGTTGAAAGTCTTTTGTTTCCTTCTTCCTGGTTGCTTTGTTTAATTTTTTGTCCTTGTTTTCAGATACAATAAACAATCCGTTAATACTGGTAACTAGAGATATTATGACATATAAAAGCTGTTGAATATGAGATTTTTATATTCATATACAATCTCGTCAAAGATTTTACCTTGAGCTTGAGATTCGAGTATTGCGCGTGCACAAGCCGGCTTTCTATTTATCTAATTTAATTTCTATATATCGCTATTTACGTTTTATATATATTAACTTTTCAAACAAACAAACAAAAGATTAAAGAAGTTATAAAATCATAATACCAGACGATTTCAACCTGCACAAGTACGTGCCAGGCGAGCCGGAAAGTCAGCAATATATGTTTCGAAATAAACTTTGTCCTATAAGGCTGAAATTTCTATTTATGTGTTTGTCCCAGCGATTTTAAAAAGGTCTGTGCAATTGCCAATAGATTCAAACTACATTATGTGAATTTACAAATTATAGTCAGAATAAAGGGTATGGGCGCATTGCCATACAGAATCGGCCCCACCCTGGTATTTAAATAATTTACACGCCATTTTATAGGTCTATTTGATAAAAACCGATATACCAATTTTCAACTTTGTACCTCATCCTAGGGCCGAGATATCATTGAAAATATGCCAAAGTGGCCCCTTCTTTCAAACTCACTTTTTGGCGTAACCATAAAAGATATCAAAAAAATATTTACGTGATTCTACTCACATTGCCTCAGACCACATTATGTAGAACAATCGATGCCAAAAAATCGTTTATTATTAGCAGAAAAACACAAAATAATTTTTCAATTGATGTTTTTCGGTAGTGCGTTTAGTTGGACCACTTTCTAATTAGCGTTGTTCGAAAGCCTATTGTTTTTTCTTTAAGTACTGAAAATATGGTTTAAATCAATTTTGTGGAACACATTGGAAAATTGAAAAAACCGAAGCCAGTACACCCGCGCGTAACGCTAATAGTCCGGCAATTGCATGCAGTTCGTTCGGACGCAAAGCAGTGCGCGATGCGCCCGAAACAATTCTTAAGAAACTCTGAATGCGAAAATATTTATTTTATAGTTATATGTATACATACAAATAATTGATATAATGAAACATTGTAGTTTCAACAAACCCAACAAACTATTTTTTTGAATGATAGTTGTAACATTGTGATAATAAAGAATAGTTCAGTAATTTATAAAAATTATTACTGAAAGTATCCTAATAATCATTATTTCCATAATATAAAATGTATTAATTAATTTATTTCGAAAATTATATTATTTATATAATAAATGTATTTTTTGTGTGGTTTATGCGAAAGTTCGTGTTTTTTTTCAACTAATTTTGTATTAGCTCATTCGCATCTACTTATAATACAGTGACAATTTAAATGCATTTCATTTCAGTGTATATTTTTAACTTTCCGTAGGGTAAGTTATTGTAATCGTTCAAAATCGCAATCGAAAATGTTTGCACATCTTCACGTTTCGAAGGTTTCTGAGCATTTTGGAATACAATAGAAAAAATGGATATGTGTGTCTGTGTATTTGTGTTATATTTCGTATATGAATGTGATAAAATTTTTTGTTCATGATTTCTTGAATAATTAAAAAAACATTCGATTCCTACTGATGGGGAGACGTACTGATTAGTTTTTAACAAAGACAGGTCGGAGATACGGAGCAAAGATAGATGCCGAGATTTCAAGAAAACGAAAAATCAGATTAAATGATTAAAAAAAGCTTTTGTTTTTTTGGACGACAAGATTGTTTTTTCAAAAAAAAAAAACAAAAAAATATTTTTTTTTAATTCTCAAAAATTATTATTTTTTTAATATCGAAAATAATTCGAATTGAATAAATAATTTTAACTTTGCCATTCAATTTATGCAATTATAAGAAATATTAGATAATATTCTTCATTCTAACTTCGCTTTATTAAGTTTTGTTCATTTACTTTTCAGGCAAATATATTTAAACGTCATTGTCCAATTTATAAGCGCTTTTATTTTGTCTATCAATTCGAATAATAAAAGCTTCAGTATTTATAATAATATATTTGAAAGCATTCAATATTTTTCGAATATTTCATTACAGTATGGGAAGTTCCAGCAATTTGCACGATACACCACTAGTTTTAGTGATTTAATTAATGTAGTAAAACCAATAATGTCTAAAAAATTTCAAACTCCGTGAGTTTATACATATAACACTAAAATAAACATTTCCGCATTTAGAATTCCCTAAGAATTGTTTCGGGCGCATCGCGCACTGCTTTGCGTCCGAACGAACTGCATGCAATTGCCGGACTATTAGCGTTACGCGCGGGTGTACTGGCTTCGGTTTTTTCAATTTTCCAATGTGTTCCACAAAATTGATTTAAACCATATTTTCAGTACTTAAAGAAAAAACAATAGGCTTTCGAACAACGCTAATTAGAAAGTGGTCCAACTAAACGCACTACCGAAAAATATCAATTGAAAAATTATTTTGTGTTTTTCTGCTAAACGATTTTTTGGCATCGATTGTTCTACATAATGTGGTCTGAGGCAATGTGAGTAGAATCACGTAAATATTTTTTTGATATCTTTTATGGTTACGTCAAAAAGTGAGTTTGAAAGAAGGGGCCACTTTGGCATATTTTCAATGATATCTCGGCCCTAGGATGAGGTACAAAGTTGAAAATTGGTATATCGGTTTTTATCAAATAGACCTATAAAATGACGTGTAAATTATTTAAATACCAGGGTGGGGCCGATTCTGTATGGCAATGCGCCCTTCACTCAATAAGTCTGTAGGATAGCTGAGAAAAACCCATTTTTTTGGCAAAATTCTTTTTTTTATT